GGAGCCTCTCCTGGGTGCGAGCGCCGCCCAGGTGAGCCGGGGTCGGCCCCAGCGCCGCGCGCCAAGGGAGGACCCGGCGGGCTGCAGGAGAGAGGCTCCGGCGCCGGCGGGCAGCAAGGGGGTGACCCGTTTGACCCCGCAGGCGGGCTGAACAGCGGGCGAGGACTTCCCACCGCCCCCCCCCCGACCCGCAGACACGCCGCTCCGAGTCTTGGAGACCCCGGGGAAAGCGCGCCTGGGCCCGCCGGCCGCAGGGGAATGGCCTTGCTGACCCGTTTGGATTTAGACCCAACGGACGGGCTACATCCCACGTGGGGCTTGCCCGGGCAGGACAGCAGAAAGCGGTGGACCGGATCTCAAGAGTGTCTGGGAACTCCCGGATACCGAAAGGGCAAATAGGATTGAAAAGGGAAACTTCCTCCTGGGCCAGGCAGAGCCAGCTCTCATCCTCCCCGGCTTCCCGAGGTTTTTAAAAGTCTGACTCGGAAGCTGCCTCGATTTCTAGCAGTGCACGTAAAAAAAAAAAAAAGCTTCTACTAGTTCATTCATTCATTCATTCATTTCACGAGCATTTATGGAACACAACCTCGTGGCAAAGAAACGGGAGAACATAAGCGGGCCGCCCGCCAGAGCCACCCAGTCCACATGGAGGGCAGCCAGGTAAAGAGGTGGGCCTTAGAGTGGACAGATGCAAATCCCAGTTTTGAACAGTGGCCTCTGTCTGCAGTTCCCCACCTGCCCGGAGACTGAAGGCCACACCCCTGCATACAGTAGGCGCCCGTGTGCTGTGGAAGGAGCAAGCACAGGCCTCCGTGTGGACAACCTGGGCCTGCTCTCCTTGAAGTTCCTGATTCACCCTCTGCCCCTCTCTCCTTTCTGGACAGTCTTCCCAACAGCCTGTTTTAATCACTTTTTGAGTTAAAAGTCAATATTTAATTAACCAAGTAATTACATTCAGCTTACGTTTGAATCTGGGTATTTGCACATCTGCGCATGTTGGGACAGCCGCCCTCTCGCCCTCTCGCCCCTCCATCTGTCCCCAGCCTTTTTCCCACAGTGTTGCCCTCCCTCCTTTGGGGCAGAGAAGGGCCGGCTGCTTGGAGCAGGTTTTCTGGGGAGGGATGAAGGGAGCAGGGGAGCTGGGCCTTTCCTGGTGGACAGTCCTGCAGACATCACTCCCTAAAGCAGGAATAGTTACTTTCAGCTTGTAGTTAACATGAAGGGGATTTCTTTCTGCAATTCCACTACCCATTACAGAACCACTAGAGGGTTTTAATTAAATTAGAGTCATTCGTTAAATATGGAAAGGGGTGGAGTGGGCAGACTGAAGACCACTGGCCCTCTAGGAGGCTCTCCCAGCTTTGTGTGTGGGTCAGCAGGGAGAAGAGACTCCCTCAGAGCGGGGAGTTGTCGGCATGTGTCATTTAATGTTCTAATAAGCAGCTCCAGGGATGACGGGGGAGGGCTTGGCTGATGAAAGGTTGGACATCTGCACACGAAGTCTCTTCCTTCCTGGGGTGAAGTGTATGTACATGAAGGCGAGCTGTTGGCATAACGGCCACAGGGTCAGCGTGGGTTTGGGGTTTGGGCTTCGTGTATGTTTCTTGGGTTTTTTTATTTGAATTGATGGCTTTTTCTGAAACCCTAATAACATGTTAAGTTTTCAAACTTAAGGGTTGAGTGATGAATTGATTGTAGAAAGCCTGGGCTTGATGGCGACTATGTGGTTATGTATGGCAGTGTGTGTGTCTGTATGTGCATGCATTGCACGTGGCAGTGTGTGTGTGTGTGCGTGCGCATGCATGTGGTATGTGTATGTGTGCATGCATCTGCATGTGACAGTGTATATGTGTGTATGCAAGTGTGGCAGTATGTATGTGCACATGTCTGTGTGCTTTCATATGTGTGGCCGTGTGTATGTGTGTACATATGGATGGCAGTGTGTGCATGCACGTGTGACTGTGTGTGTGCATGTTTGTGGTGGTCTGTGTGCATGTGTATGTGCATGTGTGTGCGGTGTGCATATGTGTGTATGCATGTGTGTGGAAGTGTCCATATGTGTGTGCCCACACATGTGTGGCAGTGTGTGTGCTTGCATACCCATATGTGTGGCAGTATGTGTACACACGTGCATTGCCTCCTGTGTGTACCTGGTTGGTGGGCATTTGCACACTCCCTGACATTACTGTTGTTGATTGTGTTTCTGTTGTTCTGTGGCTTAGGAGACCCCATGTGTCATAGAGTAGGGCTGCTCCAGGGGTTCTCTTGGTTGTAATCTTTGCAACCACGATTGCCAGGTCTTTCTAATGCAGTGCTGTTGCGTGGGTTCAAACCGTCAAACTTTTGGTTACCAGCCGAGCATAAACCGTTTGTGCCACCCAGGGACCTTTGCCATACCCATTGACGTTTGCAGTCCACCTTTTGAGTTGGGGTACCCTCTCCCTTATTGCAGAACTTGTCAGATCAGGCAGGTTTGAGCCTGCCTCCAGGGGGCAGCTACTCTTTTCCCTAGTTAGCCTGATGGGGAATGTCTACCACTCCGGCAAGTGGTGACCATTATCTGTTTGTAGACTTTGCCCCTCATGAGGAAGACGCGAGGCCTGTCCTATAGAATATTAGCATTTCTGCTCACTATGTATTCATCTGCATCTAAAGTGATAGGTAATGCTTTCATAGTGTTTCATGGGCCAGAGCTGTTCTAAGTCCTTTACACAAATGCACTCACTTAATCCACACAGCAACCCTGCGAGGTAGGTGCTGTGGTTGTAGCCATGTTAAAGATAGGGGAGCCGAGGGCCTGTGAGGGTTCTGACTCACCCTCAGCTGGTAAGTGGTGGAACTAAGCTTCAAGCCAGGCCCTCAGGCTCCAGGGCCCACGCTCCAACCCACTGCACGATCCTGCCTGTTTTTCCAAACATAGAGGAAATGCTTGCTCATCTGAAGGGAACCTATTGAGGCAGCAACACTTTAGAAGGTAGAGACCCCTCAATAATCCCACCTCTCTCTACTGTTTAGGGGAGTTTCGGGTTTCCTTTGTGCTGAGGAAAAAAAGCAGTTGCCCAGTGGTTTCTCATCCTGCCTGTGAGACTGCACACACGTTCCTCGACTCAGTGATGTAAGGGGACTAGCAAATGTGGCAGAAGGGAGAAGGCTGGGGCATCTCAGAGGATGGTGTTAGCTCCCGGAAGCACAGTGCCTAAACCAAACCAAAACCAAACTCACCGCCATGGAGTTGATTCTGACTCATATAGCGTCCCCCTTTGGATTTCCAAAACAGTAAATCTTTATGGAAGTAGATTGCCCAGTCTTCCTTCCGTGGAGTGGTCAGTGGGTTTGAACCACCAGCCTTCTGATTAGCAGTCAAATGCCTTAGGCACTGCATCACCAGCGCACAGTGACCAGAGAGTTAAAATTCCCTGTGAAGTGAGACAGCCTCTTGCAGTGGAAGGTGGAGTCCCACTGGCCTGTCCCTCCAGGGGTTGGCTTTGGGGTCCAGGACACTGTTCCCAGCTGGATCCGTGTGGCCAGTGGATGGGAAAGGTGGGGCCTCCTACAATGACCTGTTGGCCAGAGAGGCCCTCCTGGGGCCTGGCCTTCACTGGGCCTTCTTGTGATGGCCTCTGGTGGGGAACCTGTAAATGCCCCTAATCACCCTGGATTCAAGGCGTTACCTAATTGAGAGATTATTAAGATCATTATAATTAACTGGCATCCTGATAAATGGCATGATTGCCTAATTGGGGTGGTTGCTAGGGAACCAGGCCTCACTCAGAGCCTTAAGGGGAAGAGGCACTGAGCTGGCCACAGTTGGGTGTTGGAGTTCCGGGGCCCAGCAGCTAATGGGGAGGAAGTGAGAGGAGGAGCCTCCATCCGCATCTGCTGCTGTTTACTGAGCAGCTGCTCTGTGCAAATTGCAAATGGAATACCAGTTGGGGGTATTTTCCTAGAAGGGCAGCAAAGTAATCAGAATCCGTTCTCTTGGAAGCAACAGAAAGGGAGAGAGAAAAAAAGCCTCTCAAACCAACTTAAGAGAAAAATGGGACTTACTGGCTTTCATAGCCCAAAAGGCCTAAGGTGGCTCTAGCTTCAGGCACAGCTGGATTCAGGGCCCAAACTCTGTCATAAGTCACTTTCTCTCCTCTCTCCTCCGCCTTCCACAATATTGGTCTCTTTCTGCCTCTCCCAGGGTCGGGAGGGCTCTGACAGCCGGGCCATAACTGTTAAGAGAGCCAGACTGCCTGGCTGCCTGCC